TCAGCCCCGATCCCCCTCAGAAATGGCCTGCCGAGACAGGGTGCAGGGCAGGAAGCAGCACAGAGATCAGGAGCTCAGGGAGGGCTCGGCAGGGTGGCCCGGCCTCTCCTGTGTCCAAGGCCAGACCTGCAGGTCCTCCCTGTCGCCTCGCTGTTCTCCTCCCAGGGAGCCCTGCAGTGTCCCCTCTCCAGCGTCTAAAGTGGGCAATCGAGTCACAGCCGCCCAGATGGGAGGGGAGGGAAATGGCAGTGAGTGTGTGTGCGCACGCGCGCTGCTGCGGGAGAACCCAGGGCCTTTGCACTGAGCTCCCACCCCAGCCCTTTTTATTTTTTGAGTCAGAGTCTCACTAAGTCCCTGGGTCGCCCAGGCTGGGCGTGAACTGAGAAGGCTGAGACCACAGGCGGAGGGGGATTCCTGACGAAGACTGCTGTGTTCACAGCCAACGGGGGGCGCTGTGACTGCCGGGGTCCTCAGCTCCCAGACACCCAGCAGGATGGCGGGGCGGGGAGCGCATCGGGGCCCTGCAGGGCTGGCCAAGCCCGGGCCGGGTCCGAGTCGTCAGGGGCAGAGGGGCAGGAGGAGCAGCGCTGCCCGTGAAATGTCCCGCTCTATCCCTCCAGTCCCCCCGCACCTGCCCTCGCTGTCCCTGTCATGACGCGGGCCTGACCTGCACCTAACCTGGGGCATAGCTCTCTCCACACCCTCCTGACAGGAGGCCGAGTCGGGCTGGCCAAAGAGCCCTGAACCTCGGGTCCTGTCCCAGGTCCCGCTGCTGGGCTCTTCTGCGTTGGCCTCGTGGACGCTGGGTCGCCTGCCCCCAACCTTTCAGCTTGCTCAGCTCTCCCCTGCCTGTGTCCGTGGTATCCAGCTGACCTCGACGTCCGAGGTGATCTCTGCTGCGTGTGCATGGATGCACAGCACGCGCACACACGACCGTGTCAGCGCGGCTCTGCACCCTCCGATCGCACCCACCCTGTGGAAAGTAAGAGAAAAACTCCGGTCTACGCTGAATGCGTGCAGGCCCCTTCTCACCTCCTGAGGTAGGCAGTGAGTCACACAGCATCGCACGCAGTAGGCCTCCTGCCACCTAGCAAGGACCTGATGCAAATGAGAAGGCCGGGTGGGGTGCACACGCCTGTCATCCCGCACTCCGGGAGGCCGAGGCAGGAAGACCGCAGGTGGAGCCTGGCATGGGCAACTTAGCCACTTAGGGAGACGCTGTCTCTAAATAAGAAAGGGCTAGGGCGCAGCTCAGTGGAAAGACCCCCGTGGAATCCCCAGTGCCCCAAAACATTAAAACTGAGGATGTGAGCGTGTGGGGTTCTCCAGTGGACTCGAGGGCCGGCGCCCGCACACGCACACTCGGGGTCAGAAGAGCGCGCAGCGGCCTGGGCAGGCTCCGGGCAGGCGGGAGCCCCGGGCCGACCTCCGCACGCCGGCTGTCAGAGCAGAAGCGAGGCGCCAGCTGAGCGGCGTCGACTGGGGGCGCGCGGGGCCGCCTGCGTCACGTGACCCGCGCGGCGAGGCGCGGGGAGGCTGAGGCGGGACAGTGCCCCGCCCGTCCTTCGCCTGGTGCCTGGGCGACCGTCCCCACGCGAGAGGCGGTCTAGGCTGCTGTACAGGCCGCGCGGACTCCGACCTCCTCCCCGACCGCGCCGCGACCCGACTGGGCCCGCGCGGATCTGCGCCCGCACACGTAGGGCCCGGGCGCAAGCGCACTCGCACCCCCCCCCCCGCGGGAGGCTCTGCGCACGCGCACCTGGCCCCCTGTGGGCCGCATTTCCCTGGCCGGTACCCGCGCCTGGGAGGGGTTCGGGGGCCCGAGTCCCACCACTGTGCACGGCTTCCTGCTTCCCCATCCTCGCCCCGGCTACCCAGGGGGACGCTCCTTCCTCTTCAGCGGTGTTTCGGCAGCAGAGAGCCGCGCCAGGCAGGCTACGAGAAATAATCCACCCGTAACTCGGGGTGTGGCCCACAGAAGTTGGAAACCGCACCTCGCAAGGGAGCGTTCAGATGACATGGAAATGAACTCCTCAGTTAGCTTGCTTTATTTTTTTATGTACTTTTTAGTTAGTTTGTTTTCTGGTTTTTTGAGACAGGGGATCTTCCTATAGCCCAAGCTGGCCTCAAACTCACAATGATCCTCCTGCCTCAGCCTCCAGAGTGCTGGGATCACAGGCGTGCACCATGCCTGGCACATTAGCTTTACAGTTTTACTTGGAAAGAAAAGTTAACACACACACACAGACTTTAGGAATAAAATAAAAGAGAAAGCACAGTCAGGAGAAAAATGCTTTAAAATTGCAGTGATTAATTTTAGCTAGGCACGGTGGTGCACACCTATAATCCCAGCACTCTGGGAGGCTGAGGCAGGATAGCAAGTTCCAGCTCAGCCTGGGCAACATACAGACTTCTTTTGAGACGCTGTTTCAAGTTAAAAAATATAGCTGGGGATTTGGCTCAGTGGCCCCGCGCCTGCCTCTCTAGCACAAGGTCCTGAGTTCAATCCCCGGTACTGAAAACAAAATGAAAAAATATAATAGGGCTGAGGGTACAGCTCAGTGTAAAGGTCCTTCTTGCAATCCCCAGCACAAAAGGAAAAAAACGCCACACACAAAGCGCAATGTGCTATTTAACCCCGGGCACAGAAATAGATCAATAGACCGGGCGGGTGCCTGCAGCGCACCCACGCGTGCGGAAGTCTTCGGGTGGAGAAGTCACTGGGCCACTAACGGAGGAGGACACAGTGACAAAGCTGAGGAGGCTGCGGCAGGACCGTCCGGGACTTCAGTTGGCCCCCGGGAAAGGGCCCATGGGCTCAGCCCGGAGAGAGACGGCAGGCGGCGTTGTTGGAGGGGCCGCTGCTGGTGCCACTGCTGGCTTTGAAAATGCTGTCCCCACACCTGAAGATGGCCTTTCGCCTAATCCCTACTCCCTTTCTCCTTTAGAGAGACGAAGACGGTGGATCCTGGAGCTGCACGGCCCCAGGAGAGTCACAGTACTTATCCTTTTTCCTTCTCTGCGCATGCTCCATCACGAGACAATCACGTGCAGCCTAGGCCACGTGGGCCGCGTGTGGCATGAGTTACCCCACCTTCCTATGCTATAAATAGAGCGCGGCCTGGACGCCAGGGGCCCTTAGCTCATCAGTCTGTGGTCCCTTCTGGCCTCAGCTATAAAGCTTATGTATCCTTTCTTATTTTCCAATTTTGTTAATCTCCCACAGCTGTCCCCGCCTTCAGACCCTACGCTGTGCGGGGGCAGAAAGTCCACACAGATGTCAGAGCACAGTGATTGTACACAATAAGACGTGCAGCTTACTGCAGCTCACCTATTCCTAAAAACTAAGAAAAAAAAAAATATATATATATATACATACAGTATACGGGGGGAGTGAGACGGTTACAGGCATGCACCACCACACCTGAATTGGAGTTGCAGTTTTAATGGTGAAAGATCTGGAGATCGTGAATACTCACATCCATGTGGGAAACACTCAACTTCACCCCCACAAGGGTGATGATGAAAGTTTGTTCTGTGTATTTTACCTCAAAACCTTTTTAAAAACTAGAGTTACATTTTATTGTTTTTTGGGTTTTGAGGGGTTTTTTTGAGACAGTATCTTGCAGAGTCACTAAATTTCTTGAGCTGGGTTAGAATGTGTGATTCTCCTGCCTCGGCCTCCCGAGTGCTGGGATTACAGGTGTGCAGCACCGCACCCAGTCTCACCTGGCTTTAAAGTCACACTGCATGACTGGAGACAATCACCTGAGGCCTGGGCTTACCGCCTCGGCACCTCCTACCTGACATAGTTTCTCCTCCTACTGAGCAGCTGTCCCGGGCCCTCCTCCAGGGAGGGTCTGATCAGCATAGGCTGAGGCAGGAGGATCACAAGTCTCTGTCTGGTCTCAAGAGAAAAACAAGTAGGGGCTGGGGATGTAGCTCAGCCTGAAAGCCTGGGGTTCAATCCCACACCATGAAAAAAAAATCAAAGCCCAAGTCAGTCGGATGGACTCATAAATACTTAACGCTTCAAGAAAATGGGCACAGGGCCAAGGATGTAGCTCAGTGGTTCTGCTGCCTGGCTCCCAAGCGCAAGGTTCGGTACCAAAAAAAAGAAGAAAATGGGCACAGTGTCTTAGGAGATTTACATAAATCTTGCAGAAAACGTACTTCTCCCTCAAGGAGTAGCACCCTACCTGGAGACGTCTGAACACGTCACTGAATTTAGGCAAAGAGGAAAGAAGTATTAAGTCACCGGACAGCAGGGAACCATCTAAGATTCAATTAAATATCGACTCGAAGGCTCTGTCCAGCAGGTCACTTGTAGCAAACATTTAAGAGCTGGAGAAAGATTCTCACAGCACCCGAAGCAGTCACTGGGGTCAGTGGAGATGCCTCTCACAAGTGCTATTGAAGTCCTGATGCGTCTGCTGTTTCCCTCTAATGTGAACACAAATGCCCACCCGCATTTGTGTCCCAACCCACTCCTTCACCCACGATGCAAGAGATTCTATGTTGAGCTGGGCAGGAATCGAGGATTTCCCCCAGCAGGAGTGCACGCCTGTAATTCCACTTCCTTGTGAGGCTGAGGCAGGAAGATATAAAGTTCAAGGCCAGCCTGGATGACCTAGCAACATTCTGCCTCCATAAACAAGTCCCAGTACAGCCAAAACAGAAAGTAAAATTTAAAAATCCAAATGGCTTCCCGCATTGTATCCTCTGCAAGTTTGACTACTTGATTTTGTATTTTGACCCTAAATAAGTTGCAGCACACATTGGTGCTGATATTTGTATTCTGGGCAAATCTCCTGGACATGAAGACGTTCCCTTGTCAAAGCCGTAATGCGGACCATGTTTCACCGTCATGCTGGGAAACCTCCCGCTGAAAGCCAGAAACCACTTGGACAACAACCAGTTTTCTATTTTACACTGCAGCACAGAAAGATCCTCCTTACTCTGTATTTATCTGAAGCACACGTGGTCTATTCTTTCAAGGTTGCCAGCTTTATTTAACATATAATACATGTTTGAATGTCAAACACTGACGGCCATTTACAACAGGAAGAATACCAAAGCCTTTCATGGAGAATGAATTCACAGCCAGAATTTTTTTGACGTCTTAATCTGTGGATGATAAAGCCCTCAAAACATCCGATCTGCTGTACACAGGAAGGAACAATGTCGGAGCAGAGCGATTCATTTGAACGAGAGTCCTATTGTTTAATCCACAGCCACGAATTTAAATTGATTTAAACTCTTTAAACCCTTTTCCTATTTCCTTTTTGTTTAGTTTTGTTTTGTTGAGACAGAGTCTCTCGGTAGCCCAGGCTGGCCTCAAACTTACTGCAATCCTCCTGCCTCAGCCTTCCAAGTGCTAGGGTTACAGGTGTGCCCACCACACCCTGCAAACTCCTTTCCTTTCCTTTCCTCTCCACCTATTTTCCAGAACAATTTACATAATCAAGGTAATTTCCCCTATTTTTCATTTGCATCATTGCCCCATTTTCTTTCTGAACCTTAAATCCTCCTGACATCTGAGAGGTAATAAAATGGCTTTCACAGTTTACCCTAAATGTGTTACAGTTAAAAATATGTAAAGTGAGAATGCAGTCTCACAGTAGTACACCCCGAAATAGACTACAGCCCGTCAGATCAGCACACAGCATCACAACTGATCCCTGCAGAGACCTTTGGCATTCGAATGAATAAAACCCCAAGGATGAGATGAAACAGAGCCCTGGTGAAAGCAGCCACCGGGCTTCCGCCTCCAGTCTGGGTTCGGGCAGTCTGGCTCCCTGGGCGATGCAGTGGCAGAGGCCGGGACCCAGACTGTGGCGCCACCTGCTGGACACTGCAGACCTGGGCTCCCAGACCCAGGGCGACCTTTCAACTGAGGATTTCCAAAACAGACTCGTGCAGCAGCACCTGCTTGGCCAGAGCCACTCCGCCGGCTCCGGGACACCGGCCCTGGCAGAGCATCCTGCGACCGCCCCGCTCCCCCCCTCCATGGCCTGACCCCCGGCCACGGCAGGACTCGGTCCCCTTGTGTCACACCAGCTCATTTCTCACAGCCGGCCTCGTGAGTGTGTCCAAGGGGAATGTGTGAAACCCATTCTAAAATCGCTCTCCACCGTATCGCTTACTGAACGACGGCCCCACTGCACAGAACGCCTCGAGCAGCAGCCTCCAAGTGGTGGCGCACGTTGGTCATCCCAGCACTCTGGGAGGCTGAGGCAGGAGGATTTAAATTTGAGCCCAGCCTGGGCAACTTAGTGACTTAGTGCGATCCTATCGCAATAAAGGGGGCCGAGGATGTAGCTCAGGATGAAGGCTCTGCGTTGAATCCCCAGAGCAAAAATCAGAGTCACAGACTCGGCGACAGGGCCACCAGTGGCCAGGGCCCTCCTACGTGCTCTCCCGTCACATCACTTCTGCTGAGGCCCCCGGGCTCCTACTCCATCTCCTGTGGCTCTGGCCCTGCAGGGCCATCCCCAGGACTCCTCTGCACGTGTATCTTGCAGTGGCGCTTCATGGTGCCCAGCTGGCGGAAGGCGTGGCCGCACACGGGGCACCGGTAGGGCTTGGCCTGCGTGTGGATCCGCATGTGTACGTTGAGGTTGCCACGGTGGCTGAAGCTCTTGCCGCAGTGCTCACACACATAGGGCTGCTCCCGGGTGTGCATGCGCAGGTGCCCCAGCAGCGTGGACTCGTGAGTGAAGGCCTTGGGGCAGAGGCAGCAGTGGAAGGGCCGCTCGCCTGTGTGGATGCGCAGGTGCACGCGCAGGTCGGACGGCTGCATGAAGCCCTTGTTGCACTGGTCGCAGCGGAAGGGCCGCTCGCCCGTGTGCGAGCGCTCGTGGATGACCAGCTGCGACCGGTACAGGTACGTCTTGCTGCACGTGCTGCAGCAGTGCGGGGCGGGCCTGGCTGCCGCGCCAGGGGAGCGCAGGGTCTCTGCCGAGTTCACCCCGCCTTGCTCCTCAGGGGACTCGGCCCCTGCCTGGGGACCTCCCAGGGACAGGGCCTGGTCTGGGCTCCTTTTCCGGGGGCGTCTGGGACTCAGGGGTTCTCCTCCAGGTACACGCTCGGCAGCCTCATTCTCGGCCTCAGGAGAGGCGTGGTGGTGCTGGGTCCCCTCGGCACCTGCTGGGGAAGGGACGGAGCCCACAGGCAGCATTTAACCAAGGCATCTGCAAGGGCTGCACCAGGCCTCTGGGAACTTCCGGGACTGCAGGGGACACTCGGGTCAGGGGCAGCAGGGGTGGGGCAGGCGACCGGCGGGGACACTGGTGAGGGGCCCTGCACCCTGGGGTCCCGTCACCCTACTCACCAGGGCCCGGCAGGAGCAGAGGCTCCCAGGCCTCCAACGCCGACACGTCCTCCCTGTGCCCCAGCTCCCGCTCCAGGGGCTTTTGCAGAACCTCTGGGTGTCCTTCCTTGGAAGCCGCCTCGGGCAGCACAGCTTCGCCCTGCCACGGGAACCAGGAGGAGTCACTAACAGGCCCAGCCGGGAGCACAGAGCTCTCTCCTGACCGATGCGCTCATTTTCCCGAGCTTCCTGGAGACGCACGGAATCTCCCGGGCCCCAGAGCACCCTTGCCTGGCCTCCAGTCTGCACTAACCCTAACTGCCACCCGAAACCAAGTCCGTGCCCCAGCTGCCTTGCCCCTCTGTCTCCTGTCCGACTCCCCCAGCGCCGCTTCTCAGCGCAGTGCCTGGCTCCGCCCCCCACAGCCCCAGGAACATAGGCCCCACCCTCACCTGGCCCCACGGCTGCTCCGCCCCGGCTTGGTCCCTGCCCTCCGGGGACCAGAGCTCGGTGGACGAGTCCATCCTGACGTCCAGCTCCCCGGCCTGGTTGGCCATCTCCACATCTTCGGCCCGCAGGAGGAATTTCTGTCCTTCACAGATGACGATGGACTATGGGGGGCATGGCAGAGCCTCGGTCAAAACCCGGAGCGCCCAGACCTGCGGCCTCGCGCCTCCCAGCGACCGCGTGTCCAGCATCTGCCTCCCCGGGCACCGCTGGGCCCTGGAGGCCCCGCAGTCCCAGCCGCTGCTGCTCAGCTCAGTACCTGCCTGGGCCCGGACACGGGTGCTGCAGGAACACGGCGTCATTTGGACGTCAGGGCCCCCAAACCCAGAGGGAGGAAAAGCAGAACATTTCTGCTCAACACAACCACTGCGCCCGGGGCCGCTCCCCAGCCCTGGGCCTGGGGGGCTCGGGTGGGCAACGTGGGGATCCCCGCTTCATCTGTTCCCGATGGGACTGCCGGCCCTCTGCCCCCAGCGAGGAACCGCTGCTCACCCGGCTCCCGGATGCTGTCCCCGAAGGTTGCATGGCCCTCAGTCTCAGCCCAAAGCACATTCTAGACCAGGCGCCCCCTTGGTGGGGGTCCCGGGCCCTGCAGGTGCTGGGTGGCTGCCCCGTCTGTCTCTGCCCATTAGCATCTGCCCTGGAGTGCCAGCTGCCCAGTGTCCCCAGCTGATGACAGTCCCTCCCTAGCAGCACTGCTTTAGATCAAAGTCATGTCCTCCATTATCTATTTCCCTCTGTGGATTAAAAATTAAAAGTTCGGGCCCGGGATTTAGCTCAGTGCTTTCGCCGCCTGCTGTGCAAGTGCAAGGACCCGAGTTTGATCCCCGGTACCAAAATTTAAAAATAAAATAAAATAAAATAAATAAAAATTAAAAGTTCATAGCTGGGTGTGGTGGCACACACCTGTAATCTCAGCACTCAGGAAGCTGAGGCAGGAGCTCAAGGCCAGCCTGGGCAACATGTTGAGACCCTGTCTCAAAAAACAAAAATAAGTAAAAGTAAATGCATTAAATAAATAGTTCATTTGAATTTGCAGAGACAAAGCAGGCTGGCCTCTGCTCCCCACAGCGTCTCTGCCCTGCCCTGGCCGAGGTTCCGCCTGCCTGGCAACCTGTCCCCCACCCCTGCAGTCCCACATCCCCAGACATCCTGCCCACTGAACGTCTGACCCCTGCTGAGCAAGGTCTGCAAGATGCAGCCACTAGGAGCCATGCTTGGGGAGTCCTAGGATGCAAGTCAGCCCCGGGTGCAGGCACCCACTCAGCTCGACACACTGGGCCAGATGCTGGGGTCCACACCATGGTCCTGTCTCCCACCCACGCTCCCAAGCCAGTCTATCGGCAGGCATGCGAATCTCCGACTGTTTTGTGTTACAGGTGGCCCTGAGCCCGTCCTGGCTCCACCTGTGCTTGCAAAGGCACGAGTGTGCACGAAGCATGTGCACGGGATGTGCAGGTCACCCGCAGAGGACCGGGGTGCGGGGGCCGGTCTCCCACACACCCGTCTCACCCTGCTCACTGCTGAAGTCCCTGTCAGGACAAGCCTGCCTGCACCCCCCCTTCCCCAGCTGCTCCAACGCTCCAGCCCCCCGGGGGGGGGCAGTGCTCCCCACTCAGACCCGCCTGACCCAGGGGTCCGCCTGGCAGAGACCTGGCGATGTCTGGACTTGTCTGGGGTTGTTCCAGTGTCAGGGAGCCCAGGACCCGACCGTGATGGCCAGAGCACAGCACAGCCCTGCCCGTCCTGCCTGCCTCCAGCTGGCGGCCACCAAGTGTAGTCACCCTGGGACGACAAGAAAACTGTCACTGGGAGTAGGCCCTGACAAGGTAGGGTGAGTGGTAGCTCCCCAAGGCTGGGGGCACTGGTCCTCCCCCCTCGTCTCCAAACTCGAGGTGATGGGGTACAGTGGCGCACAACGGCAATCCCAGCACTCTGGGAGGCCGAGGCAGGAGAATTCCAAGTCTGAGCCCAGCCTGGAAACTTAGTAACTTGGGGAAACCCTCTCCCAAAATTTAAAAATTAAAAAGAGAGCTGGGGGTGTAGCTCAGTGCAAAGGCCTTGGGTTCCACCCCCTGTACCACAGGGGGAAAATTCAAGAAATACCCCTGCTCTACCCTCGGAGACCTGCAGAGGCTGCCCAGGGCTACCCTGAGGCGTGGACTCGTGCGACTCACCTCGGCACCCCTAAGGTGGGGACTGGACCTGTGCACTGGACGTGTGCCAGCATCTGCTTCCACCCACCAGCGGCAGGGGCGCCTCCCACACAAGCCCCGAGAGGTTCCAGCCGCCACCGTGACCCCGGCCCTCTGCACCCTGTTCCTGTGCCACCCCCTGCCCTGCTCACCGAGCCCAGGGGCCTCCTGTGGCCCTGAAGCAGCTCCTCCAGCTCCTCACAGCTCTGCACACGGTTCTCCCAGATCTGCACCTGCAGGTCCTCTGGCGCCGTGATTAGCAGCTGCTCCAGCACCAGCCGGTCCAGGATCTGCTCCGTGGAGTGCAAGTCAGGCCGCAGCCAGCGGTGGCACAGCTCCGACAGCTGCCGCAGTTCCTGCACAGGGTCAGAGCCCTTCCAGCAGAAGGCCCTGAAGCTCACGTGCCACCTCTCCAGGTCCCCTTCCTGCTTCCCTGGGTCCCACCCAGGCTCCCCCTGCTCGGTCTTTGGGGGGGTGGACATCGTCCTAGCAGGTCCTCTCCGGCGTCAGGAAGGCTGCAGTGAAGCAGGAGCCAGGTCAGCTTCAACATCTCCCTCCACCCCCCCTGCCCGTCTAAATCCCCATCCCAGCCTGATGCCAGGTGCCAAGTTGGAAAACTCGGAAACTAAACCCTTCTGCTTCTGGAGACTCCCAGCTGCCACCTCTCCTGCAGGCCCACATGGGGGCCTTGGCTGCAAACGTGCCGTCAGTTTCCCTTCCATAAAAATAGAGGAACTGCTCTTGCCTGGAAACTACACAGGATTATGGAACCTTCCTAAACGCCTGAGGGTTTTTGTTTTTTGTGGTACTGCGATCAAACCCAGAGCCCTCACACTGAGCTGCATCCCCAGCCCTTTTTTATTTTGAGACAGGAGCTTGCTAAGTCACTAAGTTGCCTAGGCTGTGCTCAAACTTGGGTTCCTCCTGCCTCAGCCTCCCAGAGTGCTGAGATCACAGGCGTGTGCCCCTGTGCCTGGCTACAATAGCAGTTCTTGTCTTCCCACAGAGTGCAGAGCCAAACTACATTAGTCACAATTACACAGACATAAACACCCACACTCAAGGCTACGGAGGTGGAAGGAACACTGGGCACCTTAGCCCTGCGGAGCCGTGTGCTTTCCCCTTCTGGCCAAGAGCACTTTCGAGAAGCGCCCCAGGGAAGACAGTGCAATGGATCTCCAGGAGTTCAAGGCCAGCCTGGACTACTCGGGCATTTTGTTACTGAAATTAAACACGCTCTGATGCTCTACATGGAAGACCAAAAACTCCACCAAAAGACTTCCAGATTTGATAACCAAATTCAGTGGCGTAGCTGGAGACAAAGTCAATAGCCTTCCTGTACACAAATAAACTCACTGGGAGAAATGAGAGAAACAATCCCTTTCACAATAGCATCCCCAAAAATGAAATATCTAGGAATCAATCTGACAAAGGAAATAAAAGACCTCTACATTGAAAGCTACAGTAGGGCCAGGGATTTAGCTCAGTGATGCCACTGCCTGCCTTGCAAGCACAAGGTCGTGAGTTTGATCTCCAGTACCCCCAAAAAGGGGGAAAGCTACAGTGCTCTGAAAAAGGAGACTGAAGAGGATATCAGAAAATGGAAAGATATCGCTTGTTCTTGGATAGGAAAAACCAATATAGTGAAAATGGCCATACTCCAAAACTGTTATACAGATTTAGTGCAATCCAAATCAAAATCCCAAAAGCATATCTCACACAATTAGAAAAAACAATCCTAAAATTCATTTGGAACCAGAAGAGACCTAGAATAGCAAAGGCAATTCTGGGCAACGAAGGCAAGGCAGGGGCATCACAATCCCTGACCTTAAATTATACTATAGAGCTACTATGATAAAAACAGAATGGAACTGGCAAAAGAACAGACCTGAGGATCAATGGAACAGATTAGAAGATGAAGAAACAACTTCACACACACTCAGCCACCTAATATTTGACAAAGGAGCCCAACATCTTCACTGGAGGAAAGATAGCCTCTTTAATAAATGGTGCTGGAAAAACTGGCTTTCCACATGCCAAAGATTAAAACCCATATCTTTCACTACATAGTAACCTAAAAATCGAAATGGATCAAAGATCTAAAACTTAAAACAGAAATTCCAAATCCGTTGGAAGAGAGAATAGGTAGAACACTTGAGGACATAGGAGTAGGCAAAGACTTCATGAACAAAACATAGACTGCATGGGAAATACTACAAAGAATCAACAACTGGGATCTCATCTTATTAAAAAGCTTTGGCACAGCAAAAGAAACCACCAACAGAGTGAAGAGTCAACCCACAGGGTGGGAAAAAATTTTTCCAGCTATCCATCAGATAAAGGACTATTATCTAGAATATATCAATAACTCAAAAAAATCAGACCGCCCCCATTTAAAGACCTAGTCCAAAAAGGGGGATCTGAAATGAAAAGACACTTCTCAGATGAAGAATTAGAAACAGCAAATAGATATATGAAAAAATGTTCAACATCACTGGTCATTCATGAGATGTAAATTAAAACAACTCTGAGATTCCACCTCACCCCAGAAAGAATGGCTGCTATCATGAAATCAACCAATAACAAATGCTGGCGGGGCTGTGGGGAGAAAGGAACCCTTCTCCATTGCTGGTGGGACTGTAGACTGCTGCAACCACTGTGGAAATCAGTATGGAGATACCTCAAAGAACTAGGACTAGAGGTCCCATTTGACCCAGCTATTCCCCTGCTGGGGATCTTCCTGAAAGAATTAAAAGAATCATTCCACAGCGATATATGTGCACCCATGTTTATAGCGGCACAGTTTGTAATAGCTAAAGCTTGGAAACAGCCCAAGTGCCCATCAACTGGAGACTGGATAAAGATGTGGTTTTTTTTATAAAATGGAGTACTACTCAGCCATAAAGAACCAGAAACTAGAGTCATTTATAGCTAAATGGATGCATATTGAGGCCATACTCTTAAGTGAAATAAATCAGACACACATGTGTAAATACCGAATAGTTTCTCTGGTGTGAGAATCTGAAAGTACAAATAAGGACTGAAATGTATAATAGATATTGGGAAACAGGAAAAAAATGTTCAAATGGGAACAGAAACAAGGGAGGAGGAAGAAAGGAAGAGACAAGAAAAAAGTGAAAATAAAAGGAAAAAATGGAAACAAAGCTTTTGCACACAGGGAGGGGAGGGGCTTGAGGGGGATGGGGTTAAAATAAAATTTATTTAGAAGAATAAAAATAGGCCACCACAGGCCGGGGATTTAGCTCAGTGGTTCTGCCGCCTGCCTCGCAAGCTCAAGGACCCAAGTTCGACCCCCGGTACCAAAAAAAAAGAATAAAAATAATGAGAAAAAAAAGAACATCGTAAATCAAGTTTGGCAGGGCACGCCCATAATCCCAGCAGTCTGGGAAGCAGAGGCAGGAGGATCACAATTTCTACCCCACTTCTATAAATGGAGAGGGAAGAAGGCAGCGCTGGGGGATAGGGAGAAAGGCTAAGATATATTAGGTACAGGTACAAATTCCCTACTACGAATGCGAACTATGCATGACAATACGCACTAATAAAAAAATTATTGGGCGGAGGATGTAGCTCAGCGGTGCAACTCCTGCCTGGCAAGCACCCGGTCCTGAGTTGGATTTCCAGTACCCCAAAAAGATTCTTTAAAAAATTAAACAAATTGGAGCTCACACGTTAATTGTTCAAAACGCAGGGGATGCGGCCCGCGAAGGCCCTGGTTCCAGCCCAGTCCGAGCACACGAACGTCAAGAGCGCTGAGGTGAGAAACCCGGGTTAAAATCTAGCGCCTACCGAAGCAGCACCCACCTGGGTCCGAGGCACCACGAAGGCCCACACTGCACACGGAGGTCCAGCAGGAGGCCCGGCTGGCTGCGTCCTCCGCTCCTGGCGTCCGCTGTTCCCGGCGCTCTGCAGACAGCGGCCCTGAGCCGCTATTTCTATGGAGCCGTCCCGCCCAGGGCCCAACCCGCCTGGTGATTGGTTCACAGCCGTGGCGTCCGCCTGGGACGCCTGAGCCAATGAAACACCATCTCAGCAAATCCCCGCCCAGTCTGCGCTGGTGATTGGACCCCTCAGCTCCAGAGTCACTTCCGAGTCCCCTGGGCCACGTGCCGCATGCTGGAGGCCTCGGAGCATCCCGCGTCCGGGCCAGCGGCCTGGCCACCGTGGCCGTCTGTTTAGTGTCGGTCTAGAGTGTTCGTTTTGTTTCGCTTTGTTTTGTTTACTACAAATGTATCTAGCAGGATTTCATTTCAGATAAACTGAAAGTCACACGCCAGTAATCCCAGCAGTGGGAAGGCTGAGGCAAGCCTGGGCAGACTGGGAGCCTCAGTTTCAAAAGAAGATTAGGTCGGGTGTGGTGGCACACACCTGTAATCTCAGCACCCTGGAGGCTGAGGCAGGAGGATCCCTGCAAGTTCAAGGCCAGCCTGGGCTACATAGCTAATTCAGGCCAGCCTGAACTGCATAATGAGACCCTGTCTCAGAAAAACGTAACAACAAAAATGGCAGTAGGGTTGTCATAATACGGGGTGCACTGTTACGCTTTGGTGTATGTGAGCATTTTGAATTGATTAAGTCAGATAGATTAACAAATTCATCACCCCTCTGGCTTATCATTTTTGTGTTGTAATAACATTTAAAGTTTACTTTTACCATTTCAAATATGCATGCAGTCCTTTTTTTTTTTTTTTTTTTGGTACCTGGGATCGAACTCAGGTCCTTGTGCTTGCGCAGCAGGCGGTGCAGTCCATTTTTAACACTTTGATAATGTGGCATAATTACCATAACCAAGCTACTTAGCACACCTAGGGCCAAGGGGATTCCCTTTTCTGTTTCTTTTCTCTTTGTCTTTGAGGCCCACCCAGAACGCTTAGCAGATGACAAGTGCAGCTGTGGCCCCTTGCTTCTGGGGATGGGTTTGGGGACCCCAGCAGGTGCCTGAGCCCCTGGACCACACCAGCCCTACACAGCCCACCATACGGGCACCATGGCGTCCACCTGGTCAGCCCTGTGGTGCCCGGGGACTCGGAGAGGGCGGCTGCATCTCGGGCGGGTGTGGCCATCGCCATGTTCGTGTGGTGAAGGCTGCAGGATGTTGTGAATGCAGGAAATATCACGGTGAGAATCTGGATGGAGCCATCACAACTTAGGGTTGATGGCAAATAACAACTCAACGGGCCCAGTTAAATTCCGATGTCAGGACCTAGGCCTGGTGATGCAGGCCTATGAATCCAGCTACTCCCGAGGCTGAGGCAGGAGGATCGCTGTGAGTTTGAGTCCAGCCTGGATAACACAGTGACTTGTGAGACCCTGTCTCAAAAATGTAATAAAAAAGCTAGGAGTGCAGCTTAGTAGAGACCACTTGCCTACTGTGCGTGAGGCACTGAGTCCAGTCCCCAGC